CATGCAGAAGGCCTTTGGCACAGCCAAGTGCCACAGTGTCTGGCTGTCTGGGCAAAGCACAGCACTGCACGCTACAAGGTTAGGGGAGCCAGGAGAGCAGCATGGTGGCACTGCAGGTGTGTGCAAAAGAGAAGGTGATTGACTTGAAGATGCTAAAACTTGCAATAGTCTATTATCGATTCATGCCCCATCAAGCAACTTATATAACAAACTCCAAATGGACGAACCAACCAGTGAAGAATGGGCCAAAGGGCAGATTTCTATGGTCATCTATTCTTGTGTCCCCCTCCCAGGCTCCTAGTCACTTTGCAAGTAGGATAACCGCAGAACGACCCCGCAGATACATCAGCCACATAAATCTGACTTGGCGGCGACCAAACCTGCTTAGTTCTGAGCAAATGGCAGCATTACAGCTTGCTTTAACCAGTCCAAAGACAGAGTTCACTCTCCTTTTGTCTAAACCCTTCCATCCCCTTATTACCAGCTGCAGATGACAATAACATCATCTGCGATTCCCATCTACTGCACAAACACTCACAGCTAAGAGCTCTGTCTGTACAAAATCTGGTCAGTTTCCATTCAAATGTTCAGTACTTCCAACATTCCTCGCTGGGGTTCAAGCTGGAATGGGAGCTGGAAAGCTATATCACCACAGGCTGAAGCCTAACTCTGTCAATTTATTTCGATAAACTGAAGATATATTGATCATCCCCAGTCCTTCACACATACGCACTCTTAAGCCTTAATCATAACCAAGGCAATCTAAGAAGGACGGTACTTGAGCCACGAGCTGCCTGCTGTGTTGTAATCAATTCATCATGTTCACAGTGGAAACACGCATGCATCAGACTTTAAAGAGAAAATTCCAGAGAAGGCTCACAACATCAGCAGGCTTCAGAGACCGTTCTGACCTACTGTCACCTTTTGACATCGTGCTGGGAGACATGGAGAAGTTCTCAAAACAAAATGACGACAGGATGATTACTGAGTTATGTGCCTCAATTCCCAAGACAAATTAACTTAATCAACTGATTGAGAAGGCTGCCTACTTCTCTATTATGTCAGTGCAGTTAGAGGAAATGCCTTGTCTGTGTCAAATCATAGTCAGGTAACATCATTTTGCAATTGCTGCCAAATATCAACATTTTCGGGCAAATCTGTGAATCTTTGTTCATCAACGCAACATTTACAATGTCTGACCTCAAGACAAGACAAGAATTTATGGTAAACTGGACACACAGGATGAGCACGTCACAAGGATCATTATGGAGCATTAGCAATCTCCTTAAACACTAGTAATTGCCTTCCCAAACTCATCTTGGACACAGAGAATCATTATCAAAACGGATATATTTTTTGGCAGCTTTGAAAAGTGAGTTGTCAAACAAACCCCATAATGATCTAGTTATACAAGTTGTAGGATGAGAGCAAATACAAACACACACCTGACAAGAGTGTTTCTAGCTGTCCCTAGGCACTGCATTCAGGTTCCTAAATATTTGGATGGCTCATATGTAGAGGTAAAATGTCTCCATAGGGATTAATGATGGCTAAGTATCTGTACAAAATGTTTAACCAGATTACAAAATATAAAAGTTGTATGTAGCCTTGTCAGTACTTTGAGGAGTACAAACATCCAGTTTCATTCAATTTCCCATTAAGGAAAGGTTGTAAAATGATCGTATTCCACTATGAAAGTTTGTATATATTCTGTATCATGTCCCAGCTCTTCATTTGAACTATACAATGTGTAAAATATTCAGGCCTAGGCTATGTTTTTTATTGTTGTATCATAAAATCAAATCCAAACACCCAAAATATATGCAAACATATTTGGTATCATTAGAAACTTCACTTAGCTGCACATCAGGTGTTTGTAAAGTGGGTCAGGGGGGCTGAAGAGCTTGTGCCTGTGCATTGCCTTTCTTAATAAAACTTTTTTATTTTTTAACCTTTATTTAATCTTATTGAAACATGGGGTTAGGGGTTAGGTCAGTCTTATTTTCAGAAGAGACCAAAAGCTATTTCCACAGATTTTCACTAGGATTTAGTCCCCATGCACCTAAAAGGTCCTCTTGAAATGGAAAATACTATAGAAAGTGAAAAGAAAAAAAGATTGCAATGCAATGCAAATCAAGTATTTTTAATAACAAATATGTACCTGGATATTTGTATTATGATTTTGATCTGGTTTTCACTCATTGTTTCATAACCATAAGAAACATTAATAAATTCAATACAACTAACAAATAAAACCAAGAATAATGAGCCCTATGTCACAATCACCTTTTGCACTGTGAGACCGATTAGATTAAGGATAAAGTGGCTGGAGATACAATCTCTTCTTGCCCCCTGAAGGCAGTTCAGGGCCTTTGATGCCGACTGTATAGCGAGAGGTGTGGCCAGTGGCAGGGATCACTGGAGGCCATCAGGGTCCAAACCCCCGTGGCTGCTACAGAAGTCTCCCTTTAATACCTGCAGAAGGTGGCGTGTCTCTCCTTTTTTTAGAAAAGCAAACAGACCACAACAGGAAAATAAAATATTTGCCAGGCTAAACGATGGGCGAGCTGGGGACATACGCAGCAGCCTGAGTGAGGAGAACAGTTGGTGACTGTGGAGCCTCCTCCAACAGGCCCAATGGCAGCATTATGCCAGAGGCTGTCAGGAGGAGGGTGTGTGACGCTGGAATGTTAAATACTGCAGGAATGTTATTTATTTTCACAAACACCACCAAGTACCTCCATACTAACACACATGTGAGGGTGCCTGCATATACACACAGAGGATACTAATGTGCACACTGACTGGTCTGATGTGCTCGGATCGGCCCGGCCAATGGGAACGCTCCAGCTCTGCCTCTCCTTACCTGTGGTAAGATCAGAGCTCTCAGCCTTGATGTGCTGCCATGTACTCAGTTCATAAAGACGTCAACACATAGGAGACACAGAGCAACACGGGAGGAGGAGGAGGAGGCAAAATAAAGATTTGCTAAAACATTCACGAGAGCTTTGTTGTGAGAGAAAAAAAAAACACGATGTTCCACTTTTTTCTCCAAACAGATGTTAGAGAAATTATAATTCTTTTCACAAAAGATTAGTAATATTTTTACAGCTGGGCAAGGATCTGTGTATAAAGCTGTGTCATTGCTGATGTCTAGACAAAAGTGTGCACTTTTTATGAGAGGATCACAGTAGCTCTTTCTCTGCTGATTCAGAATAAAATGGAAGACCACATTTGCCCGCAGACAGTGATGGGGCCGATTAACTTCCTACCACTTCTGAGCAGTGGAAGCTGTGTGTCATCACCCTGGCATTTGTTGAGCTGGGCTGCAGCGAGCGGCAGTGGAAATCGACTGGGTCTCAGGTTCATGTGAGGAGATGGTGCCAGCTTCCCAACTGAGCTCCAACTGGGTTAAAATGTCACTCGCATGAAGGTAAAAAGTTGAATAAGATTTAATCACACCCTGAGACCAGTCTTTGTGAATACCAACATGTACAATAGTTACACTTCAAGCCATTGAAGCTGTAAGTATCCGCCCCTCTGAAGTGTCCTCAAGTTGACCGTGAGCGTGATGTTGAGGGACAGATGCAGACAGACAACTTCCCTGCAGCAGTCATTGTATCACTGTTGTAATCACACATCTTATTGTATGCCTGTGTGTTACATGAAGTGTTTGTAAAGCTCATGTTCCCCTCTTTACATCTGCTAGAAGTCCACAATAACACTGAGCATAAAAGGAGGTTGGGAGACATCCGGGATGTTTGCGTGACAGCTCTTCTACCACATAAAACATGCAAACAAAACCCCGCAGTAACACTGTTGAATAGATCAATGCACAACAAGGGGGGGGGAGGGTTCCAACTCTTTCCAATATCCATCAAATGAGAGCCCTTCATTTGTTTGTGTTACTACACATAACAAAATTGATGGGCAAATTATTCTTAGAATACGACAGACTCATCAAACTTATTTGCTCCTTGGGGACAAATACAGCACAGAGTCACACAGAGTCTAAATAAGGACTTTGTTCCCAGCTCTCCTGTTTCATCTGCCTCTTGGATTGTTCCCACGCCTAGCGTTCAACATAGCTCCAGCCAAAAGATGTACCTCATGGGAAATGCTGTTCGGGAAATTTGTATGAATGTAGAGCGAATAAGAAAGATTACTAATGCGTACAGATTGTTGTAATAATGCAAAGTGAATCTATTAACTCACTCTTGAGATCTTGAGTTACACTCTCACATGTCATTGTGGGATTAAGCAGGAAAGAGAAAGAAAAAGCTGGAGTTGCCACACACATTTGTACAAAAATAACAGAGGAGCCATAAAAAAACAAAGCGCGGTTGTAAACAAAGCAGTGAAGCAAGTGCACAGACATCTGCAGAGTCAACCTGCTCTGATCGGAGCTGCTGAGCCTTGATCTACCAGTAAGTAAATCTAACATCAACAACATAGTAGTCTTTGATATGTGAGGGATGGACACACACACATGAAGTTCATGTTTCATCACAGAGCTGCATACTTCTGCTGTCAGGACTAGAAAACTTCATGGCTCCCTGATATGAACTTTTAAAAAAGCTTGTCAGCCTTCTAGCCAATATTATTGGTTCAGTACTGGCTTATCGCACATCAGTATCGGCATATATTGCAGGTAGTACATCCATGTTTTCATGTTGCTTTTTAATATTAATTATACACTTATTTGCCCACATTTTATATATTGTTCTGTATATTTCTGGATGTGTTCGTTAAATAAAATGTAAAACCAGTTACGTGTTTAACTATTCCTCTAAACTTTGATAATATAACTTTTTGTTTATTTTTGTTTTGTTTTTTTAAAACTCAAATATCAATATTGGGACCTACAATAACTCTACTTCTGCGGTGGAGTCAGCCAACCACTGATCACTCTCATCACTCTGCATCACGTTGCTGGGCAGCAGCAACAGCTGATGAAGACTGTGGCAGGTAATATGAAGCAGATCCCCCCCCACACCTACCTTCTGATAAGCAAGCTGGAGATAGTTGTAGGGGATCCTCCGTTGGAAGTCCTGCACTACATCCTCGCTGACTTTATGCACCGACTGCGAGCCGAGTATCTCCTCGATGCATTTGTTCATACACGCTGCTCTCTTAAGGACAACGTCGAAGAAAACCAGGTCTGAGAAGCTTGCATCAAACGGATGCTGGTCCTGGCACCCGAGACGGCACCGGACCCTGGTGCGCCGGACCTCTGTGTAGCTGCTGAGCGCTCCCTCCATGAAGCGCACCACATCGCTGTAGTCATTGTTGTAAAAGGCCTGCACCGCATTGTCATATAACAGGTCGTAAGGCTCCAAAACGGCTGTAGAGGGTGACAACGCCACGGTTAGCAGGACTATTGATAAGATAGGAACTGGTGAGAAGTTTCCATCCATCCTCTGCTTCGGTTCCGACGGTGAGGAGCGACAGGCGGAGCGCACACGGAGCGGTGGTCGGTCACAACAACTATCAGCTCAGCCTCGTTGTAGAGTCCATTTAAAAAAGCTCCTCGCAGAGATATTCAGGACACCGGACCAGGGCGGAAATAATGTTGCTTTAGTCGGGGACACACATTTTGTTATGACCCCAGCTCCGGCAGCGTTAACTCCTCCCCTCCAAGAAATGAATGGGCAGAAAACAATCACAGTGCGCGCTCCTTACAGGCTCCCACAGGGGTCCTTCAGGGAGCCCCGTGGGTCGCCACAAATACTGTATTTCAACATGTTTGAGCGCTTGGATTTTGACCGACAGCTTTTCTTTTCAACTAACTTAAAGTGTGGTTCCTCGAGACTAATGTTAGATCTTGAAAGGTTCCTCGGGAGATCTCAAGAAACTGTGAAAAAAAAAAGAAAAAGTTGTAGGTATCTTAATGTGACTACACACATGCCTGAAAAAGTAACTTCCCTTTTAAAGAAAACGGCATCAAATATTTCTCTTTATTGAACCAGCAGCAATATATTAAGTTAAACTCACTTTTTTTTTTTTTTTTACACATTCGATTAAACAAGCTTTAAATTATCACTACATCACAATATTTAAGTGAGATGTTTTCCAAGAAGACGGCGCTAAGATAATAAGTCAATAATATTAGTCTTATATTCATTATTAGGGTGACTTTATAACTTCTCCAACCTCTTGGTTAAGGCTCTTGTTTATGAATGGGCACTAATCCTGTTAAATAATCCCATACATTTTAAACAAGTGGAAAGATTATTATTATTATTATTTGAGCCGCCTAATACACATTAGATGATTATGTTTCCAAATTGCAGGCTTTTCTCCCACAATCTATTCTGCTGAGATATGTACAAATACCTGCTGTCTTGTCTTCTAGAAGTTTCAATGTCTCAGGACACAGTCAGACATTATCCACTTACAGGAGACTGTCTCCCTCTGGAGGCATTTTCAGTTAAAAGCAGTTTCACTGTTTTAAGACCAATCTCAACTCTTTATTCAAGTCAAAAACAGGCGTGTTCATATTGAGTGAATAAATAATACCTAATTCACTTTGTCATGACCCAGCTCAGGAAATCTTAACAAGAAGGGAGACACACCATGGCAAATATTTAAACATGGAAACTTTATTTCACAGAGTAACCAAATTAGACCAAATAGTGCCAATAAACCACAATTAAGAAGTGATCACAAATTAAAATAGGACATGTGGATGACAGTAAAATCAGTAATATGTGTGAAGTGTTAACAATGGGTGTGTGTATGGGTGCTATAACCAGGATGACTAACTAAATGGCGTAACAAACCAAACCAAAAGACGAGAGAGCAGAGAGATGGTGGATGAGTACAGCCGGGGACTTAAGGAAGTTCAGGACACTGGGCCAAGGTGCACTGACTGCAGTTAGTCACCTGCAAGGGAGAGACACAGATCAGCAACAGATACAAGCTCCCAGATGACACCACAGGGGCCATCAAAACCTTACATACACTGGATGCTGTACTCAAGCTTCTGGTTTAACTGTGAATGTAGACAGGTGTTAAGAGGAAGGAAAAAACTTTTTCAAATATAATCTAAAAACAAAATGGAAAAGCTACTACGTTTGAGATACACCACTAGAGGGCAGTACATACAGTATTTTTATTTACAGATTAGATTACATTTTTAGAAACATAAACTTACACTGTAACCATTCAAAAACTCTACCTGTAAGATCTAAATTCCAGTTTGTGCTGTTTTAAGAATGAACTTAATGAGTAAGTGAGTGCGCGGGAGGATGTGCCAGAATCACAAATGTGTCAATCTCTTTACTGTAAGATTAGATAACATGAATTTACAGGAATGGACTAAATGTTGTAAAGCATGAATGTATGTTGGTAGCAAAGCACACTGACTGTAGAGGAATTATACTACTTCAGGACAATGTTTTTTTTAAGTTAACTGTATTTGTCCACAACCAGGTATGATTCAGTGGGAAGGTGCAGGGTATAATGGGTACAAATAAAACCAGGGATTGTATTTCAGGTGTTAATATAATTTATTTTATAGCCTATACAATGGGCCAGAATGATCTGTATGTAAATAATATTGTAAATAAAGATGTAGATCTATCACTTACACTGTCTAACTGTGTTGCAATCAGTGATGCATTATAAAAACTGACCAGTTTAACTTGTAAGTGTTTATTTTTTCTTCCACTGACATGGAACAGTGAATGTGAACAGAACAGATAGAATAGATACAGCGTGATAAAACATGAGTTACAGGCAGCAGTAGCTCAGTCAATAGGGATTGGCTTGGGGACCTGAGGCTGGCTGGTTTAAACCAAACCAGTCAATATGGAAGTGGACTGGTAGCTGGAGACTAACAGTCCACCCCCAGGGCACTGCCGAGGTACCTGTGAGCAACCTCTAACCGGTCAGGGAGCTGTACTGCGGTGACCAATCGCTCCAATATCTCTCCATATTGCATGTGTAGAGGATTCTGTGTTTGCACCACACTAAAACTACTAATCTGAGTGAAAAAGATGAATTTCTCCACTGGGACAAATAAAGTATCAAAACAATTTTATAAAATATGAATCGTTTTTTAAAAGAAGGTCAAGGTTTTTTAAATATCGACTTGTTGCATGATAACATCCATCATGCAGCTCGACATTTTCCTTTCACTTCTTCTTTGAGAGTTCAGGAAGGGTTGGCTGGCGTCAGAGTGTGGGCAGCAACATGTCAGTCCCATGAGAGACACCAACATTCGTTTACATCCGCTGAGAACGTCAACGCAGCCTTCTGCTATTTCTTGTGTTCACCAAAGAATGAGGTCAACAGTTTGAGTCTGAATGAAGGTGTTTTTGTGTAGCTACTGTGGTGTTCAGAAAAACACAACATTGCTTATCTGCATATCAAATTCTTCTGCGTTTTGTATCTTTAAAGGATCGAGTAATTTTGTCAAAAAGGGATGTTGATTGCTCCACACACACTTTGACTCAGTTTAATGGTGAAATTGGAGCAAACTTTCTAATCTGTTCAAATAGATTTTGGTAATCGAGTCCAAAAACACTGTTTTTTTTACTGATTGATGCTTGTTGTAGTTTCCTTTTGTCTTTTGTATCCTTCTTAACAAAATGTGAAAAGTACCAAACAATCATAAAATCTAATTCTAGGAACTGGTGCATACCCAAAAAGGGTTTAAGACACCGTGTTTTTCAGAGTATATGTGATGTAATGTTCCTGTTTCTTCTCTATGGCAGATTTCCTAAAACTGACTCTGAGCTCTACAGTATTTAGTGACGACGGTACAGTCTGAAAGGAAGGAAACTGTTTCGTGTCAGGAAAAACCTAATTACTGGAGCACCGTTGGCCTGTTTAAGGCAACAGGAGCTGCTTTGTTGGAGTAAACAGCAAAATCCTTCTGGGATCTTCACAATTTAAATGGAGCCAAGTCAAATTGAATGTGGGTTAATGTAGAATTTAATTAAATTAATTTAAGTTATTCACACATTTAGAACATAAAACCTATGATTTAAATTAGCTGGTAATCATACCATAATTGTATAAATTGGAGTGATAAGAATTTACCATGTCAGCAGGGATTTCTTAAATTATACACAAAAATAAGCTTCATACTGTAATGTCAAGAAAACAAATTCATTTTATTTTTATTTTCAAACTGTACATACATCTGTCACACTGCCACAAAACAATACAAACAACAAAATTATATGAAAATAAACCAAGAAAATATACTTTAGTCATATAACTAACAACACACAAACAAATCTATATTAACACCAGTGTGAAACTGAGGAGGTAAAGGGATATTACAGCATAAAAGTAATCTTGTCGAGAGTCAAAACTTTATTTCTACACTGTAAACTATTATTACATAACAAAGAAGTCTTCATTGCTACCTGTGGAGAGTACATTTATGATTTCATATACGAACAGACTGAGAAAATTCATAGCGTGTAAACTGAAGTGATTTAAAAATGGAATCCATATTTATATTTCTCTGATTGGAAAACAGACAAACAGATGACAGCAGCAGAAATGGCTACAGTGACCGATGGCAACCGAGTAACAAACATACATACAGTAAGTGTTCAGAAACAGAAAAGATCAATACTGAAAAATGGGGCTCAAAGTCATTACACACAGTCTGATCTGGTGTGTAATCCTGATCCTGGTTATTGTCTTTATGTTCAGTAGGTTGTATTTATAATCCGGCAGTGGGACACTTCCTCATCATATAAACAACAGCTTGCTCCAGTTTGACTGTATCAAGGCCTCTCCTGGGCCCCCGCCAGCTCTCCTTCACTAGACGTAGTTGGACGTTTGGTTGGTGGTGGGGAACAGGTGGTTTCCGCTTATGGACTCTTTCGACTCGGACCGTGAGCATCTCCGACAGCTCAGGAAAGAACCGCCCGCCATAGTGAGGAGGCCACCAGCCCAGCTGACAAACACCGCCTTACCAAACTCAAAGCTGCAAAGAAACACAGATACATTTAGATGCACATGTATATACAGAATCAGCTGTTTACATAATCAAAATGTGTGTGTGTGTGTGTGTGTGTGTGTGTGTGTGTGTGTGTGTGTGTGTGTGTGTATATTCATACTTGTCCAGATGATGGGCATTCTGGGAGGTGTCAACAATCATTTTGACATACCAGGAGGTTATGATAATGGTCAATAAACCTGAAAACACATCATATAATTCATCACAGACGTGTTCATTTCAACTCTGCTAATCTCTTTTAAGACATGACTTCTACTAATGTCTTTTCTTGTGCAGTTTGCTTCTTGATTTAGGGATTGATTGAATATTTTTAATGACTGAGGAGAGTTCAGATGGAGGATAAACACAAATGAAATGAATGATAAGGACTCGCTGCAGAAAAAAAAATACTGACGTGCAAATCGTCCCATGAAGTTATTGTTTAGGATTGCTTTTTGTTATTTTTATGGTTTCAGACAGCTCAGACAGTTGTTTTAAAGTGCCATTAAGGTCGTTTTTTTAAAATGAAACTTTAGTATGATTGTATTATAAATGTTATTCACGGTTCTATAATCACATTTGTGTTTAATACTGGTTTTGTGGTGTGGTTTTGCTGTGATATATTTATGGTGTTGCTTCTCCGTAACTCATTGTTATTGTTAAGAGATTTTAAAAAGAGAATT